CTACCCCGCTGCATTCGGCACCTAATGGACCGGCGGGCCTGTTCATTTGCTAGACTAAAATGTACTGGGCTCGACGCCGATGTTGTCGAGTTCAAGCGAATCCGCAACTTATGTAAGCAGCGAGTTAGGGAACTTCACAACAGACAACAGAAGGCAGTTCTTCTTCGGGATAGAAGTCACCCCAATTCCTTATTTAAGTCACTCTGCCGCAAAAGGCAACCAACCTCCTCGACACTAGCCCTCAAGCTACCTGATGGCTATCCTGTAACCTCCTCTGCTCAGGTTGCAGAGATCTTCTGGTCTCATTACGAATCCCGCTTTAATTTCCCTCCTGTCTCTTCCCACCCCAATTTTCCCTCTCCTAATGCACCAACTCCATTAGAACATTTCCTCATTCTTCCAGGGGGGACCGAATCACTCATCAAATCCCTGAATCCCTTTAGTTCGATGGGACCGGACGACATGCACCCTCGAGTGTTGAAAGAAGCTGCCTCGGTTCTTGCCCCGTATTATTCCACCCTTTTCCAGAAGTGTCTAGATGTTGGAATAATCCCTTCATCTAGGACAAGAAGCATCATATCCCCCCAATTTAAAAAAGAGGATCGACACACTCCAAGTAGTTATAGACCCATCAGTCTGACTGACGTGCCCAGCAAGGTCATTGAACGGGTCGTAAAAAGGGCAATTCTAAAATACTTAACACACAACCAGCTTCTTTCTCAAACATAACACAGCTTTTTTCCTGGCAGATCCTGCATCTCCAATATGCTCTTTGTCATAGACAGTCTAACACAAGCCCATGATGACGGCTTGATTCCTCACGCAATCTTTATTGATTTCGCAAAAACTTTCGATCACGTCCCTCACACTCCCTTACTCTATAAGCTCGAGTCATATGGCCTCAGTGGCAGACTCCTTGCCTTTCTTCGGGATTTTCTCAGTAACCGAACCTACTCGGTTCGCGTAAGTTCATCATTCTCATCTGACTCCTCCATTTCTACCGGAGTCCCCCAAAGTTCCGTCCTTGGCCCCCTCCTCAATGACCTGTCACACAGGATCGGAGTCAATGTAGCAACGTACGCTAATGTTGTGTCAGTTTGGGGCACCGACCCAGTGGCTGTTCATTCAGCAATGGATGCAGTCAAAGACTGGTCTACTGCCTGGAACTTACCAATAAACGAAGACAAATGCGTTAGTATGTCATTTGGAAGGGTCCTCGTACATAGCTTCAGGACTAACGCTTCCATGATTATGGACAGTGTGTAACAACACAAGGTACTTGGTTTCTGGTTGACCAGATCACTCTCATTCTCTTACCACCAACAATCAGCCTTCCGTGTTCTTAACTTCCTAAGACGGTATTTTCCCGGAATTGATAGAGACGACTTCCAGATTCTATATAGCACGTACGTTCGACCCTTATTGGAATACGGGAGTCAAATTGCTCAATTCCGTCTGGTATGCTACTATACGGCCCTTGAACGTGTTCAACCGAGGGCGACAAAACGTGTGCACGGCTTGTCCTCCATCCCTTACCCTGCACGCCTTTCCATCTTGAACCTGTACCCCTTGAAACCCGCCGAGCAAAAGATGACATTTTTCTAGTGTACAATCTCTTCAATTCCGACAGGGTTGATGACTTCTTTGTGCGCACCAGCACGGACAATCTTCGTGAGCATACCATGAAACGCTTCAAACCGCGTGCCCGTACACTAGTCCGTCAGTGCTCTTTCACCCACAGGGTCATTTCTCTTTGGAATAGCCTCCCCGAAGAAGTAGTTATTGCCCCCACAAGATCTACTTTCCAAAGGCATTTAGGTTTGCATCTTGGTCTAATCCCTGAGCGATAAACACCTCCCTACCTCAAAGCGGTATTCATATCATGTTCAGCGTTTTCCCCTGTAGTTTCCGATTTCTTGCAATGCATGCAGATACTGCACCCCCTCCCCTTCTGTTACCTCATTTTAGGTGACCTTCTTGTACAAACAGGACCCGGACTCACTCAAACTACCCAACATCCACCCCCAGAAGAAACCTTGGAAACTATTAAGATCCGGGACCATTGGGCCTAGCCTTGCACCCGTGTAATACTTTATGACTTCAAGACATTATGACCCATTCTGGGAGCTTTTGCATTTGTTATCAAGTACTATATCTTTTCATAGCACTGACGCGTGATTGAAATTTTTCGTCGTTCTTCTATCTTCCGTGTTTCAATGATAAAAGCAAAGGTTAATCGTCAAAAATTGACACCTTAGATGGTTATACACTTTTCAGCTTTCCTATTTTCCAATTAACATTTGTTTTCCAGTGTGCCGATCAAAGAGCAATCTTAGAGTCTTGATGTGACTCTTGAAATCGCCGTCTGCACCCATTAGTCCTTGTTCTGTGTTCGTTTCTTGTATTCGGTTTGTAAAGGATATAACTGCAAAAGCGGAAAAACTGGGAGGGCAATATATTGTTTTGCTTGGAGACTGGTGATGTTATTCTGACAGTTTTATTAATAAAGGTAACAAGTTGTGTGATAACAAACGTATAAAAAAACGCGTTTTGGTGCTTTTTCTGTTTTGTGGGTGCTGGAGGTTAGGTGGAGGTAAATCGACTTAGATATATACAAAATGGAGGTTTGACCGACTTTTTGCTGTTGAAGAGACTATCTGTTCTGGCAATGCGTTCCTGTGCGAAATTATAAATGTGAGGAACAATGTGCGAAGGGTGATGCAGGGTTGAAATTCAAATAACTTGCTGCTATTACCCCATGTTCCACTGGTGGATGTGAGGGGGAAGGACAGGACCAGACAGGCCACAGGACTTGCGGTGGATTCAGCAGCAGTCCACTTTCTCACATCAATGAACTTGAGAGCATCACGGCACTGCGGTAATTGTGTTATTTCTTACACATGAACGTGAGTGGAGTGCGGTTCTGGAAAAGAAAGGCGCAGTAGCAATTGGCGACCTTAGCCCTGGCTTGAGAAACAATCGCGGAACGTTGATGCCCAGGTGTTAAGCCTCGGCTTGAACTCGGCAATGGTTTTCGACACCCATACCTCCTGAGGTACCTTTTTCCATGCACTAAATACCCGGTGCGAGAAAAACGTGGCCCTGAGGTGTTTCAGTGACCGGGGATTTCCTAACTTTTCATTGTGTCCCATTCTGTTGGAGACGTCATTCCAATAGAGTTGGTGAGAGATCCCACGTGAGAAACCCGTCAAGATAAGGGAAGTTTCAATCAGGTCACCCCTCAGCCTTCTCCGTTCCAGTGAAAACAAGTTCATCCCCTGAAGGCGTTCGGCGTATGTCGCGCCTCGAACATACGGGAACACACGTGTGAACCTTCGCTGTACTCTCTCTAGAACCTTTTGGTCCTTCTTCAGAGCTGGGGACCAAGCTTGCACACAATACTCTAGATGAGACTGAGGCTGAACGGAGGCCATGTAAAGCGGGACTATTACAGTAGGGTCGCTCGTTGCCACGGTTTACTTCAATCTGAAAAACGCTTTATTTGTCGTACGTGCCGCAGTTAGACACTGGGCAGAGAATTTAAAATCGGAGTTCAAGGTGACCCTCTATATCCCTTGTCTCTTGCACCCCTTCCATAGCCCATCCAACCCTTGCTCTTATGTAGCGCAGCCCCGCTTTATAAGCAATCTTGGCTTGCACAACCTTACACCTCAGTGGGAGATCCTATTCCGCAGACCATGCTTGCACTGCACCTAGGTCTAGCTGAAGGTTCACACCCCAGGTGCGAACCAAGAAGCTTGACGTCATCCTCAGATATGAACGACTGGATGGATAGGCGGGGAGCTAGGTCGTTGATGAAGAGCCAAGGACCAAGCCTTGTGGCACCCCAATCTTTGCATGCCCACTGCCCGACCAATCCCACTCCACCCTGATGCGAAAGGTCCGCCCTGTCAGGTAGCACTCAGTCCACCTGACTAAGCTATATTGGGCCCCATTGTTCCTAGCTTGCTGAGTAGCAGCTGATGGTTTACGGAATTAAAGGCCTTATTGGAGTCTAAGTAGCAGACTTTGACTCCCACTCTTCTACCCAACCTTTCAGTCTCAAGCTTCAGGGGGTAGCTGATTGGTGAAGCAAGATCTACCTTTACGGAAACCACGCTGCGCCTTCGCTGGAGGGCTGCATTGGGTGAGACACTTTCGATTACATTCAGGATCACTGAGAGTAAGTTAAAGGGTCTATTTTGGTGGCCAGCTTACTGTCACCCCCTTTGTGGATGTGAGCCACAGTAGCTACTTTCCAGTCCTGTGACAAGGTAGCGGTCACCTTGGCCTGATTGAAAAGTCGACCTAAGGAGGTTACCAGTACCCTACCTAAAGGCCTGAGCAGAGGCCGAGGAGATTTCAGCCATGGTCTGAGGGGCAGCCATCAGACATCCAGTATTAATGCGTCCGTGACGTCGAAGCAATTTCACCTGAGAGGGGGGAATAGCACAGCCGTACTGACATCGGATAAAAGCACGATCACTTCTGTCCAGCGGTGCACCTGTAGCAGTGTTCATTATGTCATTCCTGTTTTGAAAAAGAAACAAGGTCTAAGGTGGTCGGAGAATTACCTGGACACCATCAGGTGGGATTGGTGACGTACTGGGTGAGCGTCAATCCGTCACATCACATCCAGTACCTCATCCACAAAGCTAATAACTGGCGGATACTCTATCTCCCATTAGATTTCAGGGTCACTTTAATCCCCTAATACAAGGACCTTACGCGTCCGAGTTGTTGTGTGCCGGAGGAAACATAGCAGTAACGCATTTTCGCTGTTGGGCTGCGATAAAAACGCAAAACTGGTAATCTCACTACGGGCAGCTTGATGACGCACTCGGCAGCCTGAATGTTTTCCGTGCACATGGTGTCCAGGGCAGCCTGAGGGAAGTGTTCCAACACCAACAGTAGGGCACTGCCTCTCAACCTATCCCCCGGGACGATCGCAACGATAAGCCTGGAACCCTGGTGGGTAGAGGCCTACAATACAAAATTCAGATCTGAACCAAGGCTCCGTGATGACGAGACAGTGCGTTTCGTCAGCTTCAGCCCGGAGTTCGGCCAAATTGTTCATTAGGCTGCATACGTCAGTGTAGTGAATACTGAGGTCCTGCGCCCTTTGATCCCCTTGTGCTTCTGAGGGTTTACAGCCGGAAGTTTCTCCCTCGAGACCTCCGAGTTTAAACTCGGGTCAAGTGCCGAGGGGGCCCTGCGGGTCCTCCGCCGTTTTGTGGTCTACGTGCTCTGGAGATTCATTTCTCGCCTCAGGCCAGGGTGCCGGAGTCAGATCTTGCGCCTGACTCTCGCTGCCTGAACGGATGGTTGCTTGGTGCTACATACCTGATTGCAGCTAGGTGAAGTCGTTTTGTTATGATCGCAGTGGGTAGTCA